AAAAAAGCTGTAATAAAATTAATTATAAGTGTATTTAAAGTTTAGTTGTTTAATATAATCATTTTGTTAATTGCCTTATTTGTCCTTCTTCGTTGATTACCCCTTTTCTTCAATTTCGTTTCCAGAAACCATGCATTCTCGTGAACGTTGCAAACATGAAAAAGGAAACATTACTTGATAATCCAATCAAAGATTAACAGGAAAAAAGAGTCAACGCTAATTTTCTTTGCAGATTACTGACATCGAAGAATAAATATCGAGAAAAAAAAAAAAGAAACAAAAGCATAAATATTTCCAATTCATAGTTGAATCAATATCACAGAAAGCAAAAATATAACAAAATATCTCTTTATCTGAATCCATCTCAATAGAATATGGGGGAAAAAACGGTGCTAAGATAAATGAGATAGGACAATTTATTTAGATTTACTTACAAATGTTAAAATAGCTAGGATTTCAATGAATTTGAATAACTGAAAATTTAGGTATAAACATATTTTTTCTATGAAGGGAATTATAAGCCTTTTAAAAATGCGCTCTAATATATTTTAAATAAATTTAATTTATATTTTTTTTCATTTAAATGAGATATAAAGATCAGTTTCCACTAAATCTTGCATAAAACTTCAACTAAATTACTTTAAAATAATTTTTTCTAATTTTTTTAACTTGATTTGAGTTTATCCGAATTAAAAATGACTTTTTATATTAATTTTTAGTTGAACAACTCAACATAATATTAAGAATTACCTTCTCATAGTATTTCATTAAAAAAGAAAAAGAAACCTAATTAATCAACGAGGGTTGGGAGTGCACCACCTTGCTGACTAAGTTGCAAAGAACTACTCAGCAGTGCTCGAGCCTCTCTCTCTCTCTAGAGCTATGAATGGCAAGACTGCAAAGTACATGAGTATCAAGTTGGAATCATATATACTTTCACTTCCAAGCTACAAAAGTACTATTTCACGTTTACTTAAATTCAAAATTTTTTAATTTTTATTAAAAAAATTTACCATATATCACTTAAGTTAGTGAAAACAGACTTAATTTAAAGCAAAGCAAAAATGATTTCAATTTTGAGGACGACATCAAGGGTGGAATCATACTCAACTCCCAATTGACAATTAATTAATGGTTAGCATAAACGGCAGTCCAAAGGAGTTGTTTCCACAGATAATACCATTAACGTTGAGCTAATCTTACTTTAAACTGCCAATCAATAGGTAACAAGTAAAGGTATAAAAAATGATGTCAATTTTATAATTTTTTTTATTTAAAAATATTAATTTTGTTAATTTTTAACATTTTTATTTAAAAATATCAATTTTCAATTTTTTTTATTTAAAGATATTAATTTTTAACATTTTGGTTAAAAAATTCATTTGTCATATTAGCATCATTATCTAATTAATCCTTAAATAGAAAAAAATTTAAAGTTAGTATCCTTAAATAAAAAAAATAAAAATTGAAAGTTGACATCATTAAATAAAAAATATTAAAAATTGATATTATTATTTAAAAATTGATAAAATTAACATTTTTAAACAAAAAAATTTATAAAATTGATATTCTTTGTTATACCTTTACTCGATAGGTAGCAGATACAATTAGCTTATAATTGTGGAACAAATTATCCACAAAAATTATGCAATTCCCACTACGCACAAACATATCTTTAGCTGATGCAGAAAATGTGCAATCATCACCAAGAAACAACACTACTTGATTTGATAAACCCTAGACCGAAACCCAATATCACAAATCACAAAATTTTGTGAATATCATGTCAGGTTTGTGTTAATTCCATATAAATGATTAGATACAAAAATCACAGAGGATTGAACAGTAGAAATCAAGAAGAGAGGCAATTCGAGGCAACAATCACTGACGCTGCTCAATCAAGGAAACTTAAACATACCTCTAAATCGGCCATCGGTCGAGAGAAATAGTCGTCCGATTGCCCCATGAGAAACGAAACCTTAACTTAATTTGGCTTGTCTTCCACAGTACATTGAATGGAAGAAAGGAGAGAGAGAGAGAGAGGAATATAGATAATGTTATTACCACATGTTTAATTACTAATATTATATTTTTTTTATATTAATTGATTATTAAATTATTTAATTTATTAAAAATAAAAAATTTAAAATTTTAAAAAAATATAATATAAAAATATAATAATAAATTTTATTAAAAATATGTCACATTTGTTATTTAAGAGATGACAGCAACTCTACTCGAGCAGTGTGAGGTTTAAAAAGTTTGGGCTCTAACTGCTTGGGTTTCAGAGGCGGCTCTTCCCCAATTTGGGGCGCACAGCGATTTCAACTTTCAACCGCTATGCCATTGATTATTTTTATTTCTATTTTTATTGCATTTGTTGCTGACTTGCTGGTTAGCTATTTGGCATTGCCCCTAGTTGGAGCTTTTTAACTTTGATTTGAAATTAAGGTTTTTAAAATTAAGGAGTGTTAATTTGATTTTTTTTTTTGTATATTTATTGTAATTAGAACTCATATTATATTTCACTTATTTTATATAATTGTAATTGGATGTATTAATATTTTAAATATCATATTTAAAATATTTTAATAATTAGATAACGAGTATATTATGTGAAC